GGGGATATTCTGCATTCTCAAGAGAATTCTTCAGAGAAATCAGACCTTTTCCAGCACTCTGGCAGTGGGCAATGGGCATGGATAGGGTGATTTCTTTAAGAGAGCTTTTACAGGTGGAATTTTGTGTCTAAAGACYGTCATCCCAAATTCCTGATCCCATTTGGCCATTTAAGGAGGGATTTCTTCTGCTCTCTTTGTCTGGGAATAGTCCCTGCCAGGGCTGRGGGTTCTCTGCCTTTTCAAGCCTTAAGAGTTGAGTAGCTCACAACTCAGGAAATTTCTGTTGAGTCCACATTAAAACTAAAAAATCTGCCTGACCCACAGGAACCAATCTGAACTTGAAAGTCCCTTTTGTGAAAAATGCAAGGACAWTTTGGAATTGGACTGTAAAGGGGAATTTCTCTCTTCCAGTCAGTGTTGCAGACATCTCAGATCTTAGATTTTAAAAAAACAACATATACCAGCTCCAGGCATAGCCAGAGCACCTCCTTTATTTCCATAAGTGCTTCATCACTGACTCCCAAACCTTCAAACACCACTTACTGCTAAAAGCTGGCACTTAACCCTACCAAGAGCTGTGCTTAGCACTCCTGGAGATAAGAGCCCCATTTTCCCCCTGTGTGGAAGAATGAATTTGGGTGAAAAATTGTTCTCCTCACAACAAGTGGGTCTCCAGAGCAGCAGACTGGAAATTGGAAATTTGAAAACACCAAAATTAATTCGATTGCACCTAATAAATATTCAATAAACCACGCTGCTGTTGTTGGAGTCACAGAACCAATTCCTCTTTCCAAGGTGGAATCAGATTGGGAAGTGGCCAGCACTGACAGGCTGTTCCATGACCCTTGGTGGCTGTAGCGGCAGCCAGGAGCTGTGAGATCCCAGGCAAAGGGTGACACAGACGGGGGACTCCTCTAATTTCCCCAATTCCCCCCCAGTGAGACATTTGGACATGCCCTCCCTCCTGGTGCCATTCCAGGAGCAGACCCTGCTCTGGAATTTGCTCTGAAATCAGGTCCTTGTCTGCTCCAAACCCAAAACCTTGTGCAGAGCCCACACAGCGAGAGAAGCCACCCCCTGGGTGACAGCCCCSTGTCCCTGCCAGCTGCCAGGAGATGCAGCTCGCTCCCTGGGAGTTCCCAAAGCAGAAAATCACCCAGGCACAGGATGRCTGCACAGAAACTCCACTGGCATTTCAGAGATTTCCATTAACAACRACAAACGCATTGGCATTCATTAAACATTATCATTTTCTGAGTAAAAGCCGTTCCCAGTAAGACATTTTGGAGGCAGGCCATCGTCTACAATTCCGATTTCCCCTTATCACAGCTCAGCCTGTGCCAAATTCCCCACAAACACTGTTGTTAATTAGGAAAACACATTTTTCCTCCGTGCAGTTCGTTTTTGTTTCGCTCTGGAGTTCCTTTATTGGTGAAGCTGCCTTGAGGACAACACCAGTTGGCCAATAAATTCAGCATATGCTTAGCATCTTTACACAGGTTGAAATGAGCTTTTCTTCCCAGTCAGACCCCAAAATATGTAATTTCTGGCTTGCTGGAAGAGAGGTTGTAAAGACAAAACAGGAGGAGCAGGAAAAATAAACCAGTKACAGCCTCAATATTTCCTCAGTTGTTAAAACAGCACGGCATGTGCTTTCTTCCCTTTTCTTTAAAACAAAATCCCACTGGCACATCCTGATGAATATTTGCTGCCAAACTTATTTATGTGAAGAAATCTGAAGTGTAATTCTTGAAATCCAGAGTTGTTTGCATTTTCCTAACCTAAAACTTCAAACCATCCCCTTTTCCCAGCTGGATGATCCACACAGTGCTGGGTTTAGGCTGAGTTTTCATCTGGATTATTTTTGTGCCATCATAAACAGCAACAGGTGGTTGCACCACAGGTTGTTTACATTGTGTCTGTCCTCAAAACCCCAAAATTTATGTTTTCCTGAAGGCTGCTGTCCCATTCTGTGAAAAAGCCCAGCATTTTCCAGATAATTGGATCGGATTTTTTAACTCAACATCGCAGAGCTCTGCAGAAGTATTCGCCATGATAACAAAAAAGTCAAGTAAATAACTGTATTCCCAGGAAAGCAAACATAAACTTTGGAAAAGAAGCAGCTGTCTTGTTCAACTAAGCATTTAAGCACTTRYTTAAAATGAAAAAATAAAATAAAATTCCTCAGAGCACCGAGGTTTCTGTATAAACAGTTCCACCAGCGCAACTGTAAAGTGCTCAGCAGAACCAAAGCTCAGACACTGGTGCTGGGGACTAACATGGATTGRTTGATTGAYTGAYTGATTGATTGATTGATTGATTGATCTCCATGCTGCTAATTATCACCAACCATATGTATGGCTCCAGAGCTGTAATTAATGGAGGGCCTTGACAAGCCTGAGTCACATCTTCCTTATTTTATGGGGTTTTTTTAAATATGTAAAGAAACAAGACGCACCAATCAAAATCTTTCTGTGGCAAAGTGTGGTAAAAACATTAAAAAACCAAGTTGTGCTTTCCTGACCTCTTCAAGCTGAGGTCCTGAGGTGTTGGAARGGAGAAAGCAGGAGGATGTCCAGTGGTTAGGAGGGTAGCCAGAGCCTCAGGAGGTTTCCCCCTCAAGGATGCTGCTAATCTATTTTACCGCAAAATATATATATTTTATACCTCAATATATGTATTTTTTTTTTAAATGCTGCTCTGGAGAAGGTACTTGGAGCCTACACACCCTTTTCCTTCCTGCTTCCTTCTTGGGCAAGGGCCCCATTCCCCCTCACCCACAGAGCTGTGCCCCAGAAAAATCATAGAATGAGAATCTTAAAATTGGAAAAGCTGTCTGAGATTGAGTCCAACCCTTAACCTACACTGCCAAGGCCACCACTAAACCATGTCCCCAAGTGCCACATCCACACTGCTTTTAAATTCCTTCAGGGTTGGGGATTCCACCACTGCTCTGGGCAGCTGTGCCAGAAAAAAAAAATTGTTTAATATCCAACTAGAAGAAGCAGAGAAGTTTTTCTCTTGGAGCAAAATGACTCTGGGGTGCTTTATTATTGCAGCCTCCACTGGCACAAGGGGATTGCTGTTTAAGGAGATGATTGGTCCCTTTGGGCTACATTTAAACACTGAAATGTTGGCAGTTCTGGCCCTCACTTTGCTTCAGTACATTCAAAAATATTTATTTGTATTGTTTTATATAAATATTACAAAAACATTTATTTTTTCAAAAATATTTCTGTTTAATTCCCACCTGTTTGTCTGGTCCTCAGGCACACAAGGCATCTGGGAAGAAAAGACCTCCYGAGCTGGAGAGAAATCTGACTCCTGACAGGTAAAGAGAGAAGGTCTCTGCATCAGACCTCCAACATCAACCTCAGTTTCCCTCATCTTCATCCACAAACATGAATTTAAATCCCCATTCTGCTCCCACACAGCTCCAGGAGTAGTTCCATCCCCTGCAGGTGGGTCCATTCCTGTTTGCAGAGCTGAGCACAGGCAGCATTTCAGCAGGATATTGGCCCTGGGGGCCTCTTTCCCCCCTCTCTCTGCAGGTGCAGAAGCACCTGGCTGCCTATTGACTCTCAGATTTTCCATCCCAGGTGGAGCCTGACAGKAGAGGCTGCAGATCTCTCTAAATCSCCCTTCATGGCTGAGCTGTGCTGTCCATGTCATAAATCAGGCTGAGGGATCCATTTCTTGGCCATTCCTTGTGTGCCCTTGCTCTTTGAAGCGCCCTTATTTTATGGGGAGGATTTTCTTCCTCTGATCTGGTATTTTCCATGAGTTTGTGATGTTTTCCCTGATCATCCAGCCATTTTCCACCTGTGCACACAGCAGACACCTGCACAGAGCTATCAGCACAGGGACCAGCTGATCCAGGAGCAGGGCTGGAGAACAGCCCAGTGACAAACACACCAGTGGGATTCACCCCACAAACCCCACAAAATTTGTGCAACAGCAGCAAGACCTGGACTCCATTTGGGTGCTGGCACCACACAATCAGCCCTGTTTAATCTGCTTTAAAACATTTTAAAAATCCCTTCCAAGCAAATATTTAAAATCCATGTCTCATGGACTATAACAGAGCAGGAGYTCTCTAAAGAACAGTGCCAAAGTCCAACAAAGATGCATAAATTCCCTGCTTTTAAAACTAATACCTGCTTCTTTATATATAAACTTCACGTGCAGYCAGCTGAAAACATGAGCTTTTTAGCAGCTGATTTTTTATCTGGCATTTTGCTCTGCTGTTCCCTGCTGAGCATTTTAGAAAGAACCCAGAGAAGAGYGAGTAATTCAGATTCATCTCCATTTTTCCTGGTGGAGAGGGCTTGGGGCGCTTCAGTCAACAAAGCCTGGTCACATCACACTTCCTCAGAGGACACTCAGGGCGTGCATCATTTAATTTGCACAGCAAAAATAATAAACCTGGGAAAGTAGAAATCCTGCTCCCACCAGAGCTGCCAGGTTCATCCCATCCCACCTGTTTTATGATGCATTCCCAGCATAAAACCACTGAGGATGAAAGCAAGAGGCAGAGCGGCAAAATCAACCTCGTTGAAGGTGCATTAAATTTTGGATTTGCTTATTGCTACTCTGATGTTAATTGTGCCACTAAGGCTGCATAAACATAAAACTCCTCAGCTGAGATGGAAAAAAAAGGCTGCAGACCTCAAATGATACCTGGAGGTTTATTAAGAAGCTGAGGGGAACTATTAAATATATTTATTGTAGTCCAGGACATCCCAATTAAGGTAGGTGAGAAAAGCAGAATAATTGAGGGGAAAGAATGTGAAAAGTGTGCACAACAGGGAAAGATTTAAAAATATTAAAATCATTTTGTTTATGCTGTTAGTACACTGGGAATTTCCAACAGATTTATTCAGTTTATGTCATCCTYGAAGCGGTGTCAATCTATAGAACCAAGTGCCAAAAGTGCTGTTGAAATCAATACTTAGAATTCCAAAAGAGARCATGGAGAGCATCCACAGTGATGGAAAACCACAGGCAAATGTAAATGTGTTCACTCCTCTGTTATTGGGGGCTCTTTTCAGCCACTGATGGAGACAGGGAGAAACCTCCSCTGGGRRTGTTTTGCCCATTTTACAGAACYCCTGAAGGGTTTGGGTTGGAAGGGACTCTAAATCCCATTAAATCCCATCCCCTACCACAGGCAGGGACATTTTCCACTATCCCAGGGTGCTCCAAGCCCCGTTCAGCCTGGCCKTGGACACTTCCAGGGATGGGAAAACACTTCYACTGTAAATTTTGCCCCAATCCCCCTGTTCCAGCATGACCACACCACTGCAGGTGTGAATATGATCAAGGCATTCCCAGCGTGTTCCCAGGGAGATGAGGCTGTCTATTGCCAACACAATAAATTCCAAGAAGAATTAATGAATTAGTACTAATTGGAGAGCTAAGTGAATAGGTGCAGTAGTGTTAGGATTGCCATTATTGTGTAATTTAAAAATAATTTCCCAGTAATTGATATTAATGAAGGAGACCATTGCCCAAGTCATAACTGATCTGGCATCACCTGGAAATGGGTAAATGGAGTCAGCAGGAGAGGGAGGGAAAGAGACTCCTCACCACAGCACAGGAACCTCTGCTTATTGATTTCACATTKGTGGCACTGATCACCTTCCCCTCTGAGCCACAAAGTGCATTCACAAAGCTAGCAAACACAAATAACTCTCAGGCTGGCTCAGTTAGGAGAGGCCTGAGCTTTTCCTGCCRATTTCTGAGCGATTTCTCTTCCCTGTAGGACCGTTGATGACCTGTACCAGCAGCTGGCAGAAGATGGATTGCTCATCAAAGTCAGGAACGTGAATCTCTCCGACTTCATTGGTAAAGTAGCCTTCATATTTTGTGTAAAAGTGTTTGACCTGAGCAAACCTGAGCCCTGTTTCCAGTCCAGAATGAGCTCAAGAGTAGCTGCACTTTCAAGGTTTTGAATATCTTGAGCCAGCTATGCAAATCAAGTCTGTGCTCAGAGCCTTTCACTTCTGCTGCTGAGCCCAGCTCTGTTTGCAGAGCTGCTCTTTAACTCCAGACACCCACACCTGRGAGCTGGAAGGGTTCTGGATGTCACCACCACCCAGAGGTACAGCCAGAACATCCTTCAAGGAGCCCTTAGGCACTGGCAAGACAGGGCAAATCTAACAGAGCAGGGCTCACAGTCCTGGAGAATATTTCAAAACTTGTACTTTGGCTTTTGTTCACAGAGCAGGGAGGAGTCCCCCCCTTCCCTGCACTTCTCTGGCTGCCCATGAGTGCTCTGAGCCATGTCTGGCCCTTGATTTGAGTAAGAGATGTCTCTACCCAGTTCTGCATTTCCTGCTCCTCTTGTCTGGTTTCTGTTACCTGCAACTGCAGCCAGACCTGCTTATCTATGCTCTGCACAGAAAAAAAGGGTAAAAAACCCCCCAAACCCACATTTTCAGGCTGCAGAGGGGTCTGACCCCAACTCAACAAACAGTGAGTTCAACACCGTGAAATCACAGCAGTTTAACAGCAAAAAAACCCCAAGATTCAGTAATTTCAAAGACTGTGGTTTGAATTTGCAGCCATCCAGAAACAGCAGTGCCAYGGGCTGATAGTACAAATCCAAGACAGAAAAGWCAGATTMTCTTCTMTCAYCTCCAAATGTTTATATAAACTCTCRGAAACACCARCTCAGCCTCCAGAATCTCTGCCCATCTCTCTGAAGAACTGTTAATTCAGAAAATTTAAAATGGTGTTTAACTCCAGGCACCAACACCTGGAAGCCTGGAATGGTTTTGGATGTCACAACCACTCTGAGGYGGAACCAGAACATCCTTTAAGGCGCCCTTTGTCAAGCATTGGCAAGATGTGAATTCTGAGAATTAAATTGTTAATTCTCCAAATTAAAGAGTGTCCCATCCATTTAATGTTCATTAAAGACTGTGAAGTAAAGGATTATTTTCATTCTTCCTTTGTTCTCCAAAACCATCCAAGGTCACAAACATTCCCCCACCACAAATGCTTTTAAACCAGCACATCTCCAAAAATTTTTTTTGAAATCCAGGATAACTCTCTTGAAGGGTCCAAGGACAAAGTCAAAGAAGAAGGCTGAAGCCTAAGGAAGGTCACTAGCAATTCCTGGGGAAAGGACAAAGAGTGGAGCTGTGCTACCCAGCCACTGAAATGTCCCCCCTCGATGACAAACTGACATCACTGAACTAATTTTCTTGGTGACCTTATCTAAATTAGTCAGAGAATATCCACTGTGATTTATGGGCGGTTGCAATTAAACCCTTTGATGCCTTCTAATTAAATCTGTGAAGATTAATTCCTATCCCGTTCTTTTGATTTCTCCTTAAATAAAAGATAAAACCTGAAATGAATTTTATTCTTCAGAGGGGAGGGGGTGGTTGCACCCGGGCTTGGCTGCCTTTTTGCCCCCAAATTACAGCTCCACTTTTGCTTTTAACCACTGATTATTTACCTCTGCTCCAGAGGCCTCTTGCCCTCTCCCTTATCATCTCCAGTAAAACATAATATATTATTATTATTTTCCAATAATAATCACCATAATGGCATGTAATTCATGCTCAAAATAATCACTGACTACATCACAAGTGGTTTTCCTGCTTGTGGCCCATCCTCCTGCATCTTTGTTCTCCAGCACATCTTGGAGATGGACTTTGACAGGGCAAGCAATGTGATTATAGCTCTGAAACCAGAGCCAAGGCAGGATTGAATTGTTTCAGCTCACCATCAGGGTTTTTTTGTTTTCTTGGGTTGTTTTGTGGAGGTTTTTTTGAACAAAAGGGGGATGAGAAAAAGCRGTGAACTGCAAAGCAGAGAGCCCCACCAAACGAGGTGACACAGCGAGGAGCTGAGATGGGAGCCAGCCAGGGAAAAGCTTGTTAAAACAGCTTTTCCCCCTTTTTGAAATCCTTCTGAGAGCACACGGTTCACTGGGATTCGAGCCCTGCGAAATCCCAAATCCGGGAATCCTTTGCCAGCAGCGTGATTTACAGTGCTGCTAATGATTCTTCTCCACAAAGTTTCTTTCAAAGGTTACTCGAGACCGGCCGCTCTCTCTGCTGAACAACTTCCACAGCCTGGAAGGAAAATCCTCAGCCCATTCTGCTTCAATTTTCCTTTGCACTTCACCTTTCTCGGGGCCAAATTCCAGCARAATATTGCCCAGCTCGGGCCCCCATCCCCGGATTTGCTGAGGGTGTGCTTCATCCCCGTTYCATGGCAGCTCCTCAGTCCCTGAATTCTGCTTTTTATGACAACAATGCCACATTTATTGAGCTCCTCCTTCCTCCCCACAGGCTACTCCGACTGCCTGAAGAAAATCCCACGGGAGGTCCCTGTCCAGCCCACGCCCTCCATCCCAGACGTCCGACAGCTCGTGACRCTCTACGGGATCCTGCCCTTGGGTAAGAGCGATTCCCAGAGGGCACAGCGTGGCATTTTTACTGGCTCCAGCCTTCATCTGAAGGCTTTTTCAGTCTAATTGTTTTCCAGAAGGCTGGATTATTTGAAGAGTGGAGCCAGGATTGTGCCACACTCGGCTGTTGCCTCCCCAGCCCGTCCCTGTTTGCGTAAAGGGAAAGCACTCAGGGAAGATAATCCCTGAAACAAGCTCCAGTGGTCACAATTCATCAAGTTAGAGGAGGGCTAAGGTTGCAATTTACCTTTTACAAGCTGGCTAATRTTACTCAGAGCTGCAATCGTTTAAGGAATGAGTCTGGAAGTGTTTTGTCCCTTGCAGACTACGTTTGGAAATGCCCTCGCAGGTTTCATGCCAGGTTCAGGCAATAGCAAGGCTTTGCTGGGTCAGGTTGTTTGATTTTAATGYAAAATTCATCCCATATTTTACTTGGAGATGGCATTATGCCAAACTGCAGTGATTTCAAGAAGTGCCTGTCTCGGGGGGCCTTTACTCAAAACCTCCTTTGCATCCCTTTCCACTCCTGATTGGGTTTTTCAGCCTCAATCCTTCACCTGCATCCTTTTTTTCCATTGCTGATTGGATCTGGGGAAGATTTTAACCAGGCACATCCTCCCCCAGGCTGTGTCACTTGTGGGAATGCAAAGATCTGTTTGCTTTGGTGAACAGAAAAACTCTGAAAAACTTGTTACAATTAAATTCAGAAAAATCAATTCACAGGGAACTGAAAACTGTGAGAAAAGAACAGAGAAGGAATGAGAAAAAGAACAAACTTTATCCATTCTATACAATATATACAAATAAAAATTTAAAATCTTATAAAATACAAAACTTCTTTACAATAAACAACTTTACATACAAAAAAAMCCCAAAACAAAATCCATATATCAATTGCCAACAGTCACTGCTCATCCCCTTTAAAGCACAAAATCCCCAACATCTCCCTTCCTCCCATCCTGGAAAACAGAGGAAAGCAGACACAGAACTTCTGCTTTTCCCTCCTTYCAACCTGGATGGGGTTCTTCCCACCTGGAACATCCCCAGCTGGTTTGGGGCGAGCCAAAACCAAGGTTTGACTGCAATCAGCTGAGAGAGCTCAGCAGTTATCCCTGTCTKCACAATGTATTTCACATAACCCATAACTCCTCCAAAGCTGTTTTTTAACACCACCTAATCTAGGGAAATCAAGGCCTGAGACAGTCCTTAGTCAAGGGAACCCATAAATTTTCTGCCATTTATACAATTGGCAAAAAATCCAGGGAGAGGAGACCCTGGGCAGTTAAACAAACRAAAGGTACTTGCAAGAGCAGTTTGAAAAATGCCTTTGAGTAGCAAAAGACATTACATGAGCCAAAAAAACAGGTACAGGAGTGGTTTCACCTTYGGGGTGATGTGTTACAGATGACATTTCACTTAATTGGTCTCCACACCGGTTCATCAGGAGATAATTGTGTATCACAGAAGTGAAAGTTTTTCTCAAAATAGTCACCTGATGGCAAGGAAAGCCCYGGCTGAAATGGTGTTGAGAAAATTACGAGCAGCTGAAAGGAGAAAGAATGGTGGAAGTGATCCTTCATCTCTAACCCAGAGGAGTCTGCTGCTCCCCTGCTAATAAATCTTGGTGGAATGGTAATGGATTGGTATGGAATGAGCAAATATTAATAAAGCCTGGGTGGCTGACAACTTCCTGCACCCTGCACTGTGCTGCAATAATGGCATTCATCTCTGGGCTCTGTTCCTGCCGTTTATTTGGGATGTTAAACCCAAACAGCCACCCTGACTGGATTTGTTTTGAATGCCAGCAGTCCCCCTTAACCCAGAAGGGTTTTCCAGGCTGAGCCACTGTCAGATTTGGGGACAGTTTCCCCCTCACAGGCTGATGATGGACACCAGTCTCAGAGACCTCGAGACGCAGAGGATGCTCACCCAAATTTTCAAATATTTGTAACCACCACCAYTATTGACATCTTTAGACATCCAAAGATGTTACATAACTCCCAGTGGGCATGGATAAAGCATTTGACATTTCCTGCCGTTTCCACCTCTGCAGGTTCATCTGTCCACAGTTCATGTAGTGACAGCTGCAGGGGAGACTAATTCCATCATTATCCACCACCTAAATCTGCCTGTGCCCGTGTTTTCCCAGTGCTGGGCTCTCCCAGGTGATGGATCACATTTCCCACAGCTCAGGATGAGTTTACCTGGAGCAGCCACGGAGACACAGAGTTTGAAATGCTGAACACTCATTGCTGCAGGCACAGCAACCCTGGCATCACATTTGCTCTGACCTCAAAATCATTTTTTAAGCTCACATAGGTTTAAAACTGAAGTTTTCCCATCAGAAGACACAAATAAAGGTGATGRGTCCTTCTCCAAACAGGGATGTTAAACCTGCTGGGCTCACGGCTCTGGTTATACAGAACTCWACTCAAGTAGTAAGGAAACGATTAATTCAGGTTATCAATAATTTATGGTGAATAAAAAAGGAGGAATCATCCCATTACCTTTATGGCAGATTTAAATGAAAGCAATAATAGTGCCTTATGACTTTTTACAGGTTCCCAAACCGTCCGTGAGAAGGGTCCTTTGGTGAAATCCCTGCTGCTGGCGGGACCTGCCGGCGTTGGAAAGAAAATGCTGCTGCATGCCATCTGCACAGAAACAGGAGCCAACCTCTTCAACATCACCCCTTCCAACATCATTGGGAAGCATCCTCCAGGCAAGAAGGGCCTGGTGCTGCTGCTTCACATGGTTCTCAAGGTATGGTGGCTTGGGGAATTCTGGTTCTTTCATGGGACAAACAGGGAATTGAATTTGCTGTTTATCCATCACGAGGAACACGCACASTTTGGGCAAACATAAAATTCCATCTCTGCCATCAAAACATCAGGAAGGATTTCTGCATGGGAAGGGCCGTCCCACCATCCCTGGAGGTGTCCAAGGGACACCTGAACCTGGCACTCAGTACTCTGCTCTGGTGGAAAGGTGGTGAGAAGTCAAAGGTTGATCTTAGAGGTCTTTTCCAGCCACAGTGGTCCTGTGAAACCACTGTGAGCACCTCAGCAGAGGATTTACTGCCCCTGGAGACACCGCTGGGAGCAGCCGCATTTTTCACGTGGACATTTACGGGAGCTTTGTGTTACCTTGAATGCAAAAAGCAGCCCAGATAAAGCAAATCCTGCTCTCTGTTTATGTGCACATCGGCCAGGAATGCTCGCCATGCAGCATTTCATCAAATCCTGGGCTGGGGGTGGCCAGAAATTTCCTCTCTGGGACTGTTGCTGGACAAGAGCTCTCTCCCCTGTATTGCTCCCTGTTTACCTCTCAGCAAGCTCTTCAAAAGAAGGAATCCTGGTTCAGGATGACAGGAACAGGAATGTAGGAGAAGTCTGGAAATAAAAGCAGGCATATGAACTGTGAAAAACATAGTCCAAACCCTCCTCAAGAAAAAAAAAAATGAAAAAGACACTATCCTGGCAGGATTTCTTCCACATTCTAAGTCCTCAGCATTTCTGCTCTGGATGGGAGCTGGAGAACATTTCCAGACAAAAAAAAAAAAAAAGTAGGAAAAAGCCAAACATAATATTTTTCCAGTGCCAGCAGTCTACTGAAATTGGCTTTGCTGGGGATTTATCAGCTGCATTTTATGTAGTCCAGCCTTACAGCAGCTTTTGTGACAGGTGCCTCCATCCCCAGAAAAGCCACATTCCACAGTGGAGAGTAAAGCCATCCCCGGAGGAGAAACCAGSACAGCCTTTTTCCTCCTGGAAAATGTTCCAGCTGAAGATAGCAAGGGGGTTTTTGTTTATTTGCATATAAATCATCTCTACAATAAGAGGAGCCTGCATAAAACATGTATCTATGCACATTGACGTATATGGTATATCATATAATTTATATTATATTATGTTACGTTAYGTTACGTTACRTTACMTTACRTTACRTTACATTAYATTAYATTATATTATATTATATTATATTTTTATAATATGTTATATATCTTTGTAATATATTATATATATTCATAATATATCGTATATTTTTATTCTATATTATATATTTTAGAATATATTGTATTATATCTTTTATAATTTTATATGTTCCATAATTCATTCCACCATAATTCCATAATTTTMTAATATAATTTACAATTTATAATTGCATTCTATATTTTACATATGATGCAATTATGTACACACATCACGTCCTGTGTCCCCACAGGCACACACAAACCCTTCYATTATTTTTCCACATGACTCAAAACCAAATGCAAACACTCTCCCACCCCCTCCCTCAAAAACATGGGGAGCAGCCCGGGATTGTTTCTCCACTCCAGCTCTTACAGGAGACACAACATCACCAAATGGGCCTCATTTCCCCTCTCTCTGGTTCTCAAATCCATGCAGCACTGATTCAGTCAAATTCTAGCCCATAGCAACCAGAGTACAGCAATTAAAATAATTAATTATTCCCTGTTAGCTGGCAATTATGAGGCCACAACTGGCCACTGGGACCGGTATTGGGTGCCCTGGTAAACACAGGCATTGCCAAGCAGGTCCAGGGGACAGCCAGGGGGATAAGGGAGCTGTAGGGTGACAAAAATCTGCACAAATCCAGTTGTTCCAGACTAAACCAAAGCTGGAGTGAGAGGGAGTTTAATTTAATTTTCAGGGGCTTCATGGGATAATACAGAAAACAGAGTCAGACCTTGCTCAGAGGTGCCCAGCAATGGGACAAGGAGAAATGGGCACGAGTAGAAATGAGGACAACTGTTTATGTATGAAGGAAAAGAATTGACAAGGAATGAAAGGATGAGGAATCTCCCATATCCTGATTTGCAGGAATTTACTGCTGAAGGAAACACAGGGGCAGCACACGTTCAAAAGTAATTCCTTGATAAGAGAAAGTTTAACAGCGGTGAAAAAAAGTTTAATTTTCTCCATGGCACAAAAAGCCTGGTATAAATAGATTTGGATTATTTAAGACTGCACTAGGCAGTGGCACATGTGGCACACAAGCCATGGAAGTGCTTGGTGTCTTTAATATTTCATATTCCCAGCTCTCAGTCTTGTCTGACCCACCACAATACCCTGTGTGCAGAGAWCACTGAAAATCCCCCACATCTCCCTAAATCAGATGTTTTTTGGAAAGACCAACTGTGGCTGTTGTCCAGCTTCCCAAAAATGCCTTTATGCCCAGCAAAACACAAACCTTCCACTGTGAGCTGTGAGTGAATGACAGGAAATGTGACAGTTCTGTCCCTCTTATCTCAGGAGCCCCTGTTAAACACCAGGATTCTGGAAATCACGATTAATGGCGCTCTGTGATAAAGGTGAAGCCACCTCACACTTTTGATTACCTATTCCGAGTGCAAACAAAAGGGTTTCTGTAATGAAAGGAAACTCTGGAGAGCATAAAATGACCATTAGGAAACTTTCCTTCCATTGCTGAGTGTTGGCTGCTGGCARTTGTTTCGTGGGAGACGCCCTAAACAAGTGAATAGGATTGGGGGAAAAATGAAACTTTAATTTGTTTCAGATGCAAAAGCCAAATTCTTTTTCTTCCCCCACTCCCTTTTTCAGGGAGGAGATTTGCAGGAGACACAGCAGCCCCGATCCAAGAGAGGTTTTAGTGTTACTCCAGGCAGGCATTTTAATGGCACTGGGAGGAAATGACTTCTCATACCAGAGCAGGAAAATACCAACATTTCAATCTGCCTGTTCAGAGGAGATGTGAGGGAGATTGATATGGAGTAGGAAAAGTATTGAAAAAARCTGCAAACACCAAGCCTGAGCACTTGAGTTGTCCATAAAGACACAGCAAATTCTGCCAGGTCRGGCAGAGGACACATCTGTCTCCAACAGAGAAGCACTAACCAGAAATCCCCAAAAACCAAAATAAAATCCGGCTCCCTAAAACAGAGGCTAGATTAAATTGAGATAATAAAAATCACTTCTGTTTATGGCAGGGCCTTCAGGTGCACTCAGGGCAGTCCCACACCCACAATGGACAATGGCTCACGGGTTTTTCACCCTTTCTCACTTTTGTCCATTTGCACATTGGGGCTGAATCCTCCAATTGCAGCTGCAGCCAATGCAGTCATTCACTCCAAGTTGGCTCCCCCCAATTCTCTGTTGTTTCCATCTCTTGGGGCCTGGCACAGGGAGGTGTCCTTGAGTTTGGGGCTRCAGAGGAATTGTTTTGTGTAAAAATGGGAGAGCAGGAGCTCAGCACTGTCTGTGGAGTCTGKAGTTAAACACTGAAGGATTACAGGGTTACAGATACATGGAAATAGAGAACATAAAATCCTAAAGCATCAAGTGCATCCCTGATCAGGCCAAAAGGGTGGGAGAGAGGTGGCCAGGAGGAAATGCCAGCAGGGAAGTTGTGTGTGAGTGTCAGCAGCTCGGTGTGTGCAGGGCTGGGGCTTTGATTAAAATCAAAGAAATATTTCAGCACCCAGGGGACTCTTCTCTGGCTCTCTGGGTTTACCCAGAGGTGACTGTACGAGTATTACRCCAAAAAGGATGTGATGGAGTTAATTTAAGATTAAATTATATGACCCCAGCATTTAGAGGCAACAGAATTTTGAATTCTGCCATTATTTCTATTTTTTCCCCCTGATTCATGTTCTTTTGTTCATAACCATTGCTGTATTGTCTCTTCAGACCATTTTTCTGGCAGGTTGAAGAGCCAGGTACAATTTTTCCTGGTGCACTGCCAGAATTCTCKGTGTGTTTAGCATTTCCAGGCCACACGAGACTCTTCTATGAGTCTTTCCATGAAATTGGGGAAATTTCYATGAAATTCCATGGGAACAGTACAGTGAGTCCTTCCTCCAGTACCCACAACAATTCTTTTCTCTTGGTGCAGCTCAGGGAATCCTTAGACCCTTGCAGTGTTCAATACCCCCAGTGCTCAAATACACTTATTTCTGTGAGAAATCATCTTTAACTTGTKCTACCGTAACACAATTTAATTTTAAAATTAAATTTCTGTTGCAAGTCATTTTCTGCCTCACAAACCAGAACACAGTGGCCTCATCACTGTAGCACTGGAATATTTACCTTATCYCACGGGTAAGGTCTAATCACAGCTTTCAGTGAAGTCTTTCTGAAATTTCGATAAACTACACAGCACCGAGCAGTTTTCAGCAATAACTTGAGCTTCCAGAAAATCTTGGGCCATTAAAAAAAAAAAAATTCCATCAGATCCTTCAAATTTAGAGAAGCCTTGTGCACATGAAAAAAAAAAAATTCCATCAGATCCTTTAAGTTTGGAGGAGCCTTGTGTACATGTGCAGGGCAAGAATTGAATTTCTGCATTTTCAAGTGTAACAATTTAACTGTTCAACTCTGGCTCTCAGGTTTGAAAAGTTTCATCTTTGATGGCTGTTGACAGCGGGATGAGGTTGGGTTTTGGGKTTTTTTTTCCCTATAATGATTTTCCTGAAGAGCAAAGCTCMGTGTGGTATTAGAAGGGTTAAGGGGCCATCTGCTGGCAGCTCCAACAAATCGTGGGATTGCGGCAAAGAGAATAAAATTTCAATTACAAATTAATTACGTACAGTGCATTTAATTATCCGTGGATTCAAACTGTCCATGGATAATTCAAATGGAGCAGTTTCACGGGGGGATGTGCAGCCTGCCAGGGATCTGCCAACAATTTCAATTAGATGCCAGTGGATTCTGGGTGTCTGATGTGGATTTGAAAAAAAACAGCSAGGCCCGAGCACAGTGTTGGATTGGGTTGTGTTAATGTCTGTCAACACCAGAAAAATCAGGGAATGGTTTGGGTTGGAAGGGATCTGAAAGATTAACCAATTCCACCCACCTTCCATTGTCCCAGGGAAGACGGCATCCTTCTACGTTTCCTTTCCTTTCCTTTCCTTTCCTTTCCTTTCCTTTCCTTTCCTTTCCTTTCCTTTCCTTTCCTTTCCTTTCCTTTCCTTTCCTTTCCTTTCC